TATGCAAAATATCATTATTCTTTATTTTCATATGCAGCAAAGCATTGAACCTAATAGAGCAATGATCACTTGCACCCAGATATTAATCAATTTCCACCCTCTCAATCATTTCTGTATTTGAAGTTAACAATAAGTCTAAAATAGCATTGCTTTAGTTTATCTTTTGATATAAAGAAAAATTGTTTATCATGTAAATGTATTAGTACCTTATTATATTTTATCCACCATCATGCACCAAGTTGAACGAAAAATGCAGCCTGGTTAACTAATAAATGAATATTTGTTGAAAAGTCTTATCAATGCTATAAGTGTAGCTACCAGTTGGGCCACAAATTTTGATTTCATTCCTTTAAGTTGTATTCTCAATCCTTTTTGGCTGCACCTATTTTTCACACCTAAGGTGTTTTTGATTAGATCTTTAAGTTACAACAACCTTACAAGAAAAGATTATGGTTTATTTTATTTACATCTTAGAATTAGAAAAAAACAAAAACATGAGAGATGACCTTTTTATACTTGTTAAGCCTTTTGAAATGAAAGAAGCACCTACTAACTTTCAAATAGTGTTGGAGTAGCAATTTTTCTGGTCATTGGGAAATGGCCTACACCTCATTGACAGTGGCCTATAGACTTCTTTCTTGAAATTTGTGGCTGGCTAGTGGCTTTTATGGCCAATCTGAATGTGCCTTCAAAGATTAATGGTGTAATTGCTAAGAATATAAAAAGCTTCATCAGCTTATTGCTGTCTTCAACTTTATTAAAATCTGGGCACAGCACTTAACAAGTTGAACAGAAGTGCCACTGTGGCTATGTGCAGCTACACATAGTTTACATGTAGCTGTGAAGATACTGTAAAGTGACAAGCTGCAAAACCAAGAATAAATATAGATGGGAGAAGGAAAAAGACACTAAGGCTTTTTAATTTCTTGGCATTGTCAATTATTATTAACATTTAATACCTTGCCTTTCTCTTTCTCCAGCCCTCTCTTTGTCATATCAGTTGCATTTGTCACTAGGTATGTTTTATGTGTTTAAAAGATATGGGTATAGTGATAAGTATCACAATAATGAGAGACTGTAGCAGTGTACCCAACTTATAATCTTAGACCTTCACCAAAGTAGTCCATTACAAATTTTAAATCAAACATGTAAAAATACCATTTCACTCCTGTCTTTTTTTTTGCCATTGGGGGTAAAACCTCATATGTTTACTTTAATGCATGCTTCTTTATTACTGATTTAGCATTTGTAATTTTATTCTTTAGTAAATGTAAATCAGTGAGTTTAAGGTAAACATTTTGTTTCTTCTTCATCTTCATTATTTTTACCATTATTTGTATGTTAAGTGTCTGTGCTATATATCATTTATATTATTGAAGTCATTTTGGGAATAACTTTACAGTGTTATAGTGTTATGGAAGAGAAGGATCTTGGTGTTCTGGTTGTTCATTCTCTTAAGCTACCCAAGCAGTAAGCTGATGCTAGTGGCATGCAAATAGAACTTTAGGTTAAATCTACAGAAATATTTAATACCAGTCTAAAGAGGTTATAATTTTATTTATAGGTTATTGGTTAGGCCACATTTGGAGTACTGTATTCAGTCTTGGGCTGATTTCCTTACCTTGGAAAGGAAATTGTATTATTGGAAAGGGTTCATAGGAGAGCTACTCAGATTATACCTGGGATGAAAAAGGTGTCATAGAAGGACAGGTTAAGATCTTTGAAATTGTTTTCTCTTGACAAAAGAAGAGTTAGAAGGTATCTGTTTGAAATGTTTATGATTGGTAAAGGAATTGATAGTATTGATGCATCATCTTTTTTCATACTTAACAGTGAGAATAGTAGGACTAGGGTACACAAATATAAATTTTGGTAAGGTAGGAGTCATCTTCAGCTAAGACAGTTTTATTTTTCTAAGAGGGTGGTTGGCCTTTGTAATGGATTTCCTTCAGATATGATGGATACAATTTAAGGGGAGGCATGATAAATATTTGAATGATAAGGGCTAGCTTTGTTTATTTCATTTTTATTTTAAAGTTTAATTTTGTGGATAAGATTACCTTGATGGGCCAACAGATCCTTTGATTTTCTTACATTATATGTATATATGGAATTTTTATTGTGTATGTTATTATGTTTCTTCAGTGTGGTTGGCAGTTATTGTAAGCTATGTGCTTGATTAATTAATAAAGTATTACACACAAAAATTATATTGTTCAACATCCTGGGAAATCATAAGCTACACAACTTTTTGTATTGGGTAATTCATGTTATGATGCAAATACATTTCAAAGCACAAAAAATACAGCAAAATGATTACATATATGTATACATTTGACATGTACATATGCCCTCAGGCAACTAACAAAAAGTTCTGTTTAAAATAAAAACTCAATGAAGAATGGTTTTTCTTAATGAAAACTGCTTCTCTCATATAAAGCTTCATGATTTGTAGAATTTTGATACCATATTTTAATTATGAATTTTTTTATCTTAAAAACTTCAGTTCAGACAGTAATATTGGATTAGTCTGATGTAATCAAATTAGGATATCAGTGTGACTACACATTTTGTCATTATCTATGAAATCTGTGCTAACAGAATCACTGGGCTTATATATAGCCCTTTTAGTGTTTCAGGTACACCTATAGTTATTTATATAATGTAATTTAGTTGAAAAATTAAGGTTGTAGAAAGTAGTTGCAAATTTCAGATATGAATTATCAAGATCTTGTGAACATTAAACTTTTGTTGCTTGCGTTATCTTATAATTTATAAGCTGGTACAAAGTTTAAATGTTAAGCTGTAACTGCTACAAATACACTGTTTCTATAGTAACTATCTTCTAAATATACTTGAACTTTGGATTGCACAATTACATGCAGTCTTTATCAGTAAACCAATGAGTTAGGCAGTATTTTGGAGCTCTCTCACTGTGTTTAACAAAAGAAGAAATTAGTAAATCAGAAGATTTCTTCAAACAAACAAAATGGCATATAGAAATTTTCAAAATTTTGACAACTATGCATATGAATGTGATGACTATAAAAACATTCATTCATTTGATCATAGTAATTCGAGAAATTCTGTTGAGAGGTTTTCCAGCAGGCCAAACATAGACTTTTCTGTTAACTCAAGAAGACCACCTGGGCCAAGTTATGAAAGACCATCAGATGTCAGAAATGGATTAAGAAACTCTGAGTTTCAGGTAAACATGGGACAACCTTCTGCAAGGGTTTATGACATATATGGAGATCCTGAAATTCTAATTCAGCCACAGAATTTATATGAGCCAGGACCTTCTAGAAATTTTTATCATGACTCACATTGGAAGGGCCAACCTATAAGATATTCAAAGGCCTTGCAAAATTTTAATCACTCTGCTGGTCAAGGTCCTCAATTACCTGATATCAAACAATCTGACCAAGGAAGTGCAGATTTAAAAAGGTTTAGCCGTTATCATGGATGTCAAGAGAAACTGGACTTCCCATATTACACTAACCAAAGGAATGGTCCTCAGATTGATCAAGATTTGTTGGCTCAACCATCTACAAGTCGAGATACTGGTTTTCAACAACATAGAAGTAACTTTAAAATGCCAGATGGTCATTCAGCTCAAAATCTTGCAGATGATGATGATGCAATCACTAGAAGTCAAAGTAGTTTTAGCTATAGAGACAGACCAAGATTATTAGATGCTTTTCAATCATCTAAATCAGCATATAATGAATTAACTGTAAGACGGCCTCATACAGCTCCAGAACCTGCAATTTCTAGTCTCAGACATAGGCAGTCAGCAAAGCACACAATGAAAGATGCTAGACAGATTGCAAAAGAACTTGGGCTCTACAGTAAAACTGAAGAGGTCAGTAATGCAGACACCAATCCCAGTGAAATGAATTCAGAATCCCAAGTTGTCCCTGCAGGACTTCAAGATGATGAAGAAACTAAAAGAAAATGTTGGGCAAGAATGTGTCAGAGCATAACGTACCATGCTCACTACACTAGTGCTTCAAAAGAAATGGAAAACAGGTTAAATTAGAATATGAGATTATGTGTTTGTTTTCATATTATAATAAAATGTCAAGGTGTAATGTTGTCACAATTATTTTATAAGAGTAAGACTGAGACAACATAGAAAGAAAGTTATCTTAGAAATGGTGTATTTTTATGATTGATCATTTTTGTTTTAAAAGGGAAGTTAGACAAAGATCAAGTGTGGTAATTCCCCATTATACATTCTAATAAAAATGTTACTGTTTTTAATTCTGAAGCATGTGTCGAAGATAAGTCCATACCATGTCACTGTAAAAAATAAAATTAATAAGTATGATATTTGCACTTTACATAATAATTATTTATATAATTTTTGAAATGTTTGCAAATAATGTGTCAATATATTATTCTACATTGCTTCATAACTCATTGTGTTTTGTTTTTTCTCAACATCGTAAGTCTTTTACTTACCGTATTATATGAAAATGCATGGTTATTTGTGTTGTTTAACAAATTTATATCCAAAATGTTACATTAGGTTCACAACTAGATATAATAATTCTAATATACACATTTTTTTTCATAACATATTTTAAAGTTTAATATGTTAATGGTGGTCAACACATTAAAATGTTAATAATATAAAAAAATTAAAAGAAAAACATTTAGGACAGGATTAGTCACAAACTAAACTTTTAAATATTTCAAGTAATTTAGGTGACACTTTATAAAATTAAATATGATCTCAGGAATCTCTCTAATATATACATACTTGTTTGTATTTGAAATTGGAAAGTAAATTTTAGAGAAAGGAAAGAAAATCTGTAAATTTATCCTAACAAAGATGTTGAAACTGCCATTACAGACTAGTTATTTTTCAATTCTTCTTTTTTCCATATAAAACATTGATTTTAATAACATGTTTTCTTCAACTTTTGAGTCAAAGTGTCTGAGTTTTAACATTATATTTTACTACAGGAGCTTTCTTTTTCTTTCTCTTCTAGGAACAAAGTTAAACAAGCTCAAGTCAGTCCAGCAGCTGGTTTTGCTGCCTGGGAACTAAGGCAGCAGAAAGTATGTGTGAAAATTCTAATTTGTAACTAATCTGCTGAAACTAAAGTTTAAGCAAATGCATTTATTATTTAATATTAATATCTGGGTTTAGTTCTGATATAGATTTATTTAAAATTTTACTTCTTTCTGTAAAGCACATTTGACTTTCAGTATTATGATGTTTTTGAAGTTAAGTAAGGTGGCTAAACCTTTCTAAGAAGTCACTAAAAAGAAAGTATATGTAGATATTTGTTAGAAGGAGTCATACTTCCTAAAGCTGTGAAAGTTTAACTAAATATAACAGATAAATATTAACTTTTTCAATATAAAGTAGGTAAACATCAATGGTATGATAAATCTGGTATATTAACTTATATTCTTAATAGTTATGTTAAAGCCACAGCCACAAGTCTGAGGAATAAAATATTTATCATATATATCATAAAGATATCCCAAGGTGCTTCATTTACATTTTCCACATATTTTGGGGTAAGGATTTAGTGTAGCTGCAAGAGAATTGAGAGGACTACTCAAAATGTTTTTATGTTTTATGGATTTGTTCCTTTAAAATGTGGTTCTGCAAACATAAGTAAAATACTAATTATAGAGATGTACATGTTAGGTGTAGTAATACACTTATTGTTGTATGACTGTTAGGCTGTAATTGCATGTTGTAATAGTAACATCTTATATATAAGGATAAATGGTATAGTAGTTGTGATACCTTACAGATAGTAAATGTAGTTTGAAATACTTAAAAGTTTATAGTATGAAAGTGTGTTGAAAATAAACTACAAAGAAACCTATCTGTAAATATTGCATATGATAAGTAGATATATTTCAGTACACAACTACTGATATTAGAGTCAGAATGAGCTTACAATTTTAAGAGGAGTAAATAAGCTAAATTTTATGTGTCCAAAGCCATCTGAAGATCAGCAACCACCAGATCCACACAAATTTTTCAGTTACACTTACTGTTTATTAGTTCTGTTAATTACAGCATTAACATCACCACTGTTGCACTCTGTCAGAATGCTAAAATTATTTTGCTTTAAGGATATTATTTCTGAAACTGAACATTATTTGTAGTTTTTAAGTTCATGTGTACATGTTGAACAAAGGATCCACCACTAGGTTATTGCCTACTTGTGTAAAAGAACATCAATGAAACCTAGGAATGTGTGTAGTATTGCTCATCAAGTCCTAAAAGAATGCATAGTTGGTGTTAATGGGGAAAATTTATCAAGTTTAGTGAACATGAAAATGAACAGCATGTGAGAATTCTAGAGAATTTGGTGTTTTTTATTGCAGTGGTCATTCTATTTCTATATTAATTATGATTATTTTGATATATCTTTAATATAGTATTTTGCTTTTGTATGTATTGTATTTTCAGGAATGTTACTCACCTTCACAAAACAGCTAGTTACTACTTCATGCAACCACCAAAAAGTTTTGAGCACGTGCCAAGCCTTTGCATAAATCTTTCACCCCTACACATAATAATGTGTACTGTGCCAATCTGTGATGCAATCAGCATCAGACTCCATGGGCAATACTACTCTAAAGCACTTTCAGTATACCAATAGCTCATTCTATTCCTGACCCGGCATGGCCAGGTGGTTAGGGTGCTCGACTCGCATTCTGAGGGTTGCAGGTTCGAATCCCCGTCCCACCAAACATGCTCACCCTTTCAGCCGTGGGGGCATTATAATGTGACGGACAATACCATTATTCGTTGTTAAAAGAGTAGCCCAAGAATTGGTGGTGGGTGGTGATGACTAGCTGCCTTCCCTCTAGTCTACACTGCTAACTTAGGGACGGCTAGCGCAGATAGCCCTCGTGTAGCTTTGCACGAAATTCAGAAACAAACATTCTATTCCTTAGCAGTAAAGTGTTCAGTAGCATTCTTTCTTCATAAAGAATTACATTGTTTTGAGTTTATTAATTTCTACGTTTTATTAGAATTTGAAATATTATCTTTTTAAAATAGTTTCAGTTATAGCTTCTGTTATAAATTATTATCTTTACTTCTAATACTTTGACTTTTTCTCAAAATCAGACTGTGAAATTTTGGAGCACATATTCCAGAGTCTGTGATATGACTTCTTCAACAGGAATCTTCTCTGTTGTCATTAACCCAGTGAGAGGCCCAAGTACGTACTGGAAAAAAAATTTATAAGTAATAATAATAATGTTAAAACTTTCAATGAACTCCTGCTTCTGTAACTTCTGCTTTGTGTTTCTCTGAATAGCTTTGACCAGCTCTTCACGCGACCTGCCTTTACTTCTGGTTATTCCATCCCTGGCAAGGATCAGGTAACACCTACTTTTGTCCTTCGCTGCTTTGATAACTCAGGCTTGTGACATTTATTTTACTCAAGTTATTTCTGCTGATTTTCAGGCAAGCTTTTTGCATGCATTTAAACTCTTAAGTTTTTTTTCCCTCTTTTCTCCCTTGCCTGGTACTGGTAGTTGGATAATTTCAGATTCATACCATCTTTATTTTGTGCTGACTCTCAGTTGTCACATTCCTCCCAAGCTTAAGACATTTTCTCTGTGTTTTGTGATTTGAATACTTTTTTTTCTGTAGTGCTCATATCCATTGAATCTCTTTTTTTCCCATCTTGGGAATTTTCTTCTCCAAATTTGACACTTTTACCCTTTTGAGGCTTATCATTGCAACCCCAAAAGCATTACTCTATGCTGCCCCATTTTCATATTCATGTTTATTTTACTTACTTTTTTTTTCCTGGGATGTGCTTCATCAGGATGCATTATTTTCTTAAGTTTGACTCTCTCATTTTTATCTTGGGGAATTCCATTTGGCACTTTTCCTTCATTGGTTTTTTAGTGGAGTTTTTTGTTCTGTGGCCTCTCGGTATCCACTCTCCCGAGAGGTCAGCATTCATGGGGCTTAGTAATCAGTCGTTTCGGAAACCACTCCTTAGTTTTAGTCTTATAGGAGTGTGGCTTTTTCTGTTTGCCCTCATGTGGATTCACTTTGCAAAAAAAACCTTGAGTCACACTAATTTTCTCTAAGGAGCTTTCTTTGTTTTTAAGACTTGCATCTGTTTGTTTTCAACAAGTCTTAAGGGCTTTCATATAGAGAATGCACTCCCTAGGTCTGCATTTTAACCCTGTCCTAGGAAGCATCATCTACTCTGACCTCCCTTCTCTTTAAGGAGTCTGCTCATTTGATTTGGCTGGTCAGGTTCCAAAGTCAGTATTGATTCCCATTCAGTATCTGATTCATTTGGGTGTCTTTATCACCTTGTTTAATTGGTAGGCTCAACCTTCTTTTTTTTACATTTTCATGTTATCAAGCTTCTGGTTTTCAAAGCTCTCATGTCTCCCTTTTTTTTTCCTGTATATGAAGTTCTGTCTCTTTTGGGAATTCTCTGTTTCTTTTTTTTTACTGTCTTCTTCTAAGTGTGTCCTTTTGCATCCCCCTCAGTATATTCTGGAACATTGTGGAATATGCACTGTGATCTATTGTCTTTACTCATTTCTCTACCTCCATATCTACCTCCTGCTGCTATGATAGCTCGAGCATTTCCATACAATTCTGAGCATCCATCTTCATGTACCCCACCCAGATTTACATCTGTTCATAGATGCCTCTCTAGCCAGGTGGCATTGTGGATTGTGTTTCTGTATACCTTTCCATACCAGGGTTCTTGATATATGAACAATTCAATGAGCCTGCTAACATATTTTGTTACAGCTGTGTGGACATCTTGGTTTGATCTATTCCAGCAACTCCACTTTTGTTTCTTACTTCAACCAACAGGTAGGTACTCACTCTTGATATCTCTGCTATCATGTTTTTGAGCTCCTCTTTTGGGCTCACCAGAACACAATCTGGATATTGGCCTTCCATGTTCTGAGAGCTTTGAATTTAGTGGCAGATAAGTTGTTTCACACAGGCCAACACTTTCCAACAGAGTGGTCCTTCCATCTTCTGATATTTCTGTGAACTTTTTCCCAATTTGAGAATCCTCTTATTGATGCATTTATGACTACCATCTACAAAAAGCTTCCAGTTATTTTTTTGGTCATCAGTCCCAGACTTTGTGGCCATGGTGGTATTTCTTCTTAACTTGGGTGGGTCCACTCTCTTTCTGTATACCTATTCTTCTGTTTCACTTCTTCCCAGAATACATTCTTTAATTCACAGCACATCTTACCACATTCTTCTCATTTCCTCTCTATGGTTAACTTCATCATAGTCTTTGATCTTTTGACTCTTGGCAGTTCTGGAGCCTCTGTCTCTTCCATCTTGGAGATCCTTTTCACATCATCCTCAAATGTCCACCTTTCACCACAGTTTTCCACACCTTCATCTTCACATGTGGTTTTGTCTGGTCCCTTGTAAGATGGGCAGATTTTTCTTGCAGGTTATCTCATTTCCTTCTTATCCATGTTGGTCATCCCACCTTACATTTTATCACCACAACCAGGTGGTTTGTCGATGTTAGTCCATTTGCCATTTTTCTGACTCTTTCTCGTCACATTTCATATTTTACTTGTCTTTTCAAAGCCCATCCATCCATTTTTATGATCACCAATTAGAAAGCAGCTTAATCAAGAACCTTTTGTCTTTGGTCTTGCCATTCTATTTTTCTCTTCCTAGTACTAATGGACCTCTTCTAATCAGTTGTCCTTCTCATCCAATTTCACTTTAGGAATGGAAACTATGTTTAATTTTTAGGGCTATTGCATGTCCTTTATTAAAACCTTTGGCCAGTTGTTATCTGTACCATTCTTCTATTAAACCTTTCTCAGTGAGCTAGCACAATTTACAGAAATTGAATCACAAATTTTATTGTACAATAATACATGTGGTACCTCAGATTTTATAACTTATCCTCTCAAAAACTGGAAAGATTTTGTTGAAGATCATAAATATCTTGTACACAAAGAACAATATTATTATAATTAAGTGTTTTTACTAAAAATATTTTTTTTTATATTGTAGTTACTTGTATTCAAACTATTAACAAATTAAGTGCAAGATGATTTTAATTTTAAGTGTAAAAATACTTTTCTTCATCTTATAGTTTCATATTTCACTTGCATAATGTCTAGAACCTCCTAAAGCGATATCAAAAGTTTTTTAAGATAAATGTTTGTATTTTATTTTTCATTTTCTCTACCATATCACTAACTCTAGCTATTATCATCAATGCACAATGCAATGAAGTAATTGAAATTAGGAAACAGAAGGAAAAGTACATACCTTTTAGTTTTTTGTAGAATATCTTTAAAGATTTTCCTTTTGTTAAATTCGTAATTTCAGGTCTTTTCTTTTTCACATATAGTTAATTTTTTTATGTTTTTTTTCCCCTTTTGTCCTTTACCACTTATTATTTATCTCTCGACAAATCAAATGTAAAAAATAGAAACTTATTAGGCTAGATATTAGATTAGGTAAGCTGATGAAAAATGATAATAATAAAAATTCTGTATAAGGCATGCTTGCAAGCAGCTTGTGCATTATGTAATTCAATACATTAACATGAGTTATATATTTGCCAAGTGATTTACAATTTGCATGGTGGGATAATTACTTAGACACTGTTCAAAGGGCAATAAAATAATGAAATTTAATTAAAAACAGATTTTTTGAGCTTTATGTTATTTAGGATAAACAATTGTAGTTTCCTATCACAATTTGAAGTTATTCTAGAATGGAAAAAATGATAATTTAGATTTGTTTTGTATTTTTTTTATGGTGGGCATGAAGTTGGTCAGATTGACTGAATGCTTATAGAGTTAGGATAGAGAAAATATGAAGTAAAATATAAAGTTTTACTGAAAAAAGCATTTAATATTTGTTTAGGAGGTTTTAGAGATTACGCAAATGAAATTTGACAATTTTTAGATGAAGAAAAGCATTTTTAATCTTAACATAAAAATCACTTTGCTCTCAGAACAGTCAACACTTTAACTTCATATATTCACGGACAAATTTTTAGTAAAACTGCTTAACAAAAAATCTGATTTTCTGGGTACAAAAGATTTGTTATGTTTATTGAAAGCTTGTGAAATTTTCAGAAGATACACAAAACATATTAAAAGTTACAGTATGGAAACTATGATGGTCACATTGGGGTCACAAGCTCGGTCCATTTGACCAAGTCTGTAGCAAGAGAGTTAAGATATAGTTTCCTTTTCTGTTTCAGTTATGGGAGATGCTACTCTGATATTTTTGCTTTTGATACCTTTCACCTTGGTGGGTGATCAGATGTTTTCTTCAATCACTTTTCTTTCCATTTTTTCTCTGTATGATTATTCAGATCTTGATCATCTCCTTTGTCATGCTTGACCAGTTGGCTGTTATTTCTCTATCTTGATTGGGTGGATTAAACAACTGCTTTGGCTTATTTATTTCTCTGTGGGAGGTAACTTCTTTCACCTTTGCATGTCACCTCCCATCAAGTTCATTATCTTACAACTTGTCTTGCCTCTGGTCATCAATGTCCCCTGGATGAGAGATTTGAGGCAAGATATGGAAGACCTCCTCAACATCTTTGTGTCACATTATTTACATCACACTTTGGTTTCTCCTCTCCTCCAGTCTTCCCAGAGCTCAATTGTTGATTGTTTCATTTTCTTCCAGCGTCCATAAAAATTATCCATATATTAAAGACAATAAAATCAACCATATGAACAATGTTGCCTTACAGAGAATACTTCTTTCTACCAAAAGCCAATTGAGTAGAAAAAAACAGAAAGTGTTAGGTTCATATGATTCTGCTCAGTGCTCACTGTTGAGATGAGTTTTTTCCACAAAATTGCTTTGGCAGTTTATATATTTTATCTTTGTCATCATCTTATTGGTGGAGAAGTACAGTCTAATGCTAATTGCACCATAGATTGGAACATTACACATTATCACGTGTATGAGTGAGAGTTTTGTTCGAAGGCTTGGCACCTGTGCAAAAAGTTCTGTTCTGTGGAAAGATGTTCATCTTTGTGGAATACATTTTCAGGCAAGGAAAATTTTAATTTTTATGTCCATTGGAGGACTAGTGAAAAACTGCTGTTGAATGTTTTGTAATTTTCAGGCAAAGAAAAAACTATGGGAGACATGGAAGGAGTTAATTTCTAGCTTGAATGTTTGGTCACATCCACTCAAAAGAATTGAAGGTACAGTATGTGTATATGAGTTGAATAAAGTTTATATTTACACAACTAAAATTTTTTTAAATCAAAGGAACAACATTAATCCATTAAGTTAAAGTTGCTGTTAGTAAATTGCCTGTAAAGTTTGATAATAAAAGGTATTGTTGAAATATACATAAAAGTAAATCAAAATAAAATTAAGTCAAAATTAACATACGAAAAAGAAAGATGGAAAAATAAAAAGGTGATGAAGTAGGCACCTTAGTTCATGGCTTTAGTTTTTCTTTTCTTTTTGTTTTGTGTTTGTGCTTTATTAACAGTTCTGTTTAGAATTACATGTTTCAACTAGAAGAAAACCTTGTTCTATCCACTGTTATTTTACAATTTTATATGTTTTTTAAGTGACATAAGTGACAGAGTTTTTCTTTTTGGTAAACAGTTTTTGGTTTAGTTTAACTATGAAATCAAAACAGATTTATAAGGTAAAATTAAAAATAATATGAATTATTTAAGCTTTATTATTAATTGTATTATTATGCAGAACTTGAAAAATGCACTATTTAAAGGGTAAGTTTAAACAGTAACTTTATTAATATTGAACTAATAAAGTTTTAGTATAGAAATAGTATGTTTTTATAAGTGTCAGAAATGTGTGTACAGTTATCCAGCTGTGTGTTTCAGGTACAAAAGTTTGAACTTTGTATCTAGCAAAAATTGCTTGGAATAAGTTACTTATTGAATATAAAACCTTCTAGGGAAAATGTTTCAGTCTCTTATTATAAGTGTATAGTCCATGTGAGTTATCACCAGAGATGTACAGGTCAGAGGATGGTTATCTTCATAACTATAAATAAACCATCACTGTTGTTATGGTTACTCTCAACCTTTGAATTTCTTGTAATCCATTGTTCTAATTCACTAAATATGAAATTAATGCATATATTTTTTTTAATTTTCATTATTATATGTTTCAGGTTATCATGGGACTGGAGTTGTTTCATACTTTTTGTTTCTTCGCTGGCTGCTGTTCTTGAACCTTGGGATCTTTTTTCTTGTTGTTCTCTTCATTCTTCTCCCGCATATACTTTTCAAACCCTTGGAAAGCTCAGAGTTAAAAATAGAAAATAAAACTCTTGCTAGCAGTAACTATTTTCCCAAGCCAGCAGCACTGAGACTGTATTCTCCTAGCGACCTCTTCCCAAATCTCCCAGATGAAGTTTTTTCCATTTTCCAAGACATTGGAGGCAAGGCTTTTGACCAAGCATCACAGATCACTAGTCTTTTGCCATCAGCTCTTAAATCTGATAAAGCTTTCTTTACAGATGAAAGACTAAAATTTAGTCCATTTTGTTCAGAAAATTACACAGTTATGGTTAACAATTTCAAGAGTAGTAAGATTGATCTAGTGCTTCAGGACTTCATGCAAGGAACAGTAAGTAATAATATAGAGTTGGTTTTGTAAAATTCCTCTCCTGGCATTTTAAGTTTTCTATTAACATAAGATAAACAACAACTGATTTAGGAAATTATGAAAATATTCTTCAAACAAAACAATCAAATCAAACACGTCGGTTTTAACAATCTTACTCACCAGCAGAAAGTAATTTTTCTAGTGAAGTTAGGTTTGAAGAATTTTCAGAAGAATGAATTTCTGCCAAAAATTAAATTTGTAATAGCATATATTATTTTTCCAGAATTCAGCAGGTCAGACAGCTTAAAATGACAAAAAGTTGTCAAATCTGTATAAGTAGTACAATTATATTTATCTGCCTGGAAACTTTCTCTGAAATTCCTCGATCAAATGCTACAAGTCTCAAATCATTAGAAAGGCCTTTGTTCAAGGAGCCTGGATTGCATATTGACTTTTCAATTCATAATTGCCTTACCTGTTTTTTGATTAGTCAAACTTTTCAATGCAACGAGTAAGGTACACAATGACAAAATTTTGTTGTCATCACGTGATGACTGGCTTCAATTTCAGCTTTAGTTTTTTTTATTTGCAAAGTATTTCACACAAACAATACTCAACCTGCATGTAATTTCCTAAAAAAAAACATTACATTAAACACAATTTCTGTGGGTTTTCTTGACTTATTTAGGTCTAAAATATGCACGTGCAGTTCATTCAAAACCATATGCTTATCATTTTGTGAACATGCACTTAGATGTTTCTGCATATTCATTTAAGTTTGCTTTCATTACAACTTTACTTTTACTTCACTTTACAGTAACTTAGCTTTGGTTCATTTCATTTCATAGACTACAATTAACATTTTTTAGTTCCTTTAGTGTGGGTTTTATTCTTTGTTTCTGTGAGTTTCTTTGTTTCAACTAGTAAAGCTGTGTCATACACTGAATGCTCATAACTGTTTCATACTCTGTACACTGTTATAAATACAATTACTATGCTTTATTGTTTACTTTATGTGTAGTTTTATTAAATAAAGTTATGTCTACATGAGTTTGTTTCTCTGATCTCATAAAAAGTTTTTCAAATAGACCAGGATTTATTAATCTAACACATAATGCCTCCAAGAAAGTGTTTGCATAAATGACATGTGTAATAATGATAGAATAAGGAAAATTCAAGAGAAAAGCATGAAAACTACTGCAAATGTTTTGCAGGTTGTGTCTAGTATTTATTGTTATTATTATGTTAAGCAACTTGATACATTTATCTGTCAGCTCATTAGTTTGTCATAAAATAGTTCCTCAAAATAAAAATAATGCAGAACAGAACATTATATTGATTTTTCTAAAGTTATATGTAATGAATAATGAAGTCAGACAAAAAACTTTACAATGAATGTATTGGCTCACTAAGACGAGAGATCCAATTCTTAAACTTCTATCAAGCCTAACTAGCACCATAGGAATGTTCTGGTCATTTTTTTAGGCCAATATACAATTAATTATACTTAAACATTGCATTGTATAAAGGATACAATTTTCAAGTCATGGGATTATTTTCTTTTTCTGAATTAAGAGCAAAAGAAATATGCCATTGTTGCTGCTGAGACTCTTGAAAACATTATCAGAGTAGTACCAAAAGTTGCATGCAGTTGTTTTTTTATATGTACCTATGTTGTGAGTGTGTGAAGTTAAAAAATTTACATCCTGGAAACAAAATATATCTGTTGGATGGGGGAAAAAAAGCTTCTTCTGTATTCTTTCAATGGTAAGGCCCAATGTTAAACATTTCAACTATAGATGTGTGCCAAAAAGTCTGCAATACTGCGAGCTAGTGCAAGTTCTCACTTTAAATTTTTGCATAATAACTTTATTTGAGACACACAGTTTTGATACTTTTGAAAGTGCATTATAACATTGAAAATATTTTCTATTGTTTTGGTGTTAAAATGATTAACTTTAGCTTTTTTATTTATTTAATTTTTTACTAACTTTAGTTTTTTAGATGATTTTGGATTAAATATAACTGAAAATAAAAGTCAAGATGATACACTGCTAGTTATTTTGCAATTTTAGTTCTGAGAATTTAGTTTAAAATCGATAGTGACATAAGTTCTACAACTTATTCAACCCAAAACTCACTGCTCGGTATTTACTAGTAATTCAAATCTAGATTCAAGTTAAAAAATAAAACATAATATTAAGAATTGAAAAATATTTTTAAAAAAACAGTTCTACAACTTTATTCCATATAAACTTAATATAATTTTATTTTAAATGATTAACTAAACTAATATTTTTCAGTGTAGTTTTATAATTTGTAAATCAAATTCAATACAAGTCAGTTTTACATTTTCATTGGGCATCTTTGCATTTTCTTTTTTAGTTATTATAAAGTTTTAAAAAGATCTATTCAGAAGCTATATTTATAGTACTGGTGAATGTTTGTGATCAATGTGCATGTGCTTTGCATGCAAACAGCTTATAATGCAAGTTTGGCATTTCAGTATATTTGATGTCCTTTGGGCTGAACTGTAATTAAATTAATAAAGATCATGTATGTATACATATTGACTTCTTGTTGTTTAAAAACTTCCAATAAATGAATGACAAGCATAGTTTGTCATAGGGTCATATGACAAAGAGTAAATCTAATAAATCCTGACCGATGTTATGTTTCAGGGTGATCTCATTTTGAAATCTATCAGTTTCAAGTCAAAAGGTTTTAAGTTACATATTGTCATATATATTTGATGAAAAATGTTTATTTCTGCAAAATGTCAAGATTACATTCATTTTGTGCAAACAAGTAGCAGTTAAATACTTGAATGGAACTCTTGAAAGACTGGATGCTAATATTTTGGCAAGGGACTCGGGTATAGAAAGCAATGGTCATTCAATGCATTACAAAACACATATCTGGGTCTGCAGTAAGTTTATGACTTACAACACCAAAATCTGTTTCCTCATGATGAAAATAGTTCATATAGCCCCATGCTTAGCTTTATGCTAATACAAACATTACACTCCCATGATAGCTCATTGGTTAGCCTGAGGGCTTATGATTCTAAAAATTGGATTTCGGTATTTGCTGTGAACACAGCACAGATACACCAATGTGTAGCTATGTGCATAACAACAAACAAACAAATCTATACCTGAAATAACATTCTGGATTTTCAGCTTAAGGACAGTTGGTACATACTCTAAGAAAAATACCAACACTGATCAATTAGATGTTTTGGAGAGTTTATATAGTCTAAATTTCTATTTTTGCAAGCTTTGAGTACCGAGTCATTTCTCTCAAAATAAACTTTTTTGCTCACTTAGGTTGTTAGATTGTTTTATCTGCTTCATGCCTTTTTTTAAATTATATACTTATAAATAAATCTAAAATACATACAGATTAATTAATTTGAAAATACTATAATACCAACTTTTATAGTAGGCTGATTCTGATCGTAAGTTTTTGGATATAACTTTTTTCTGATGATGACCCAAAACTATGAGTCAAAATGTTGTAACCATTAAAATCAGAACCTGCCTACTGTAAAATTTGCTGTTATTTTATTTTCAAATTAATTCAGTTCAGGAGGTCCCTCACTAAACAATAGCATTTATAGATTATTCATCGTATAAACTAATCGTCCAAGCTAAGATTTAATTTGTTGTAACATTAAGATACTGAGATATTTGTGTATGCAATGTATATTACAAATGAAAAATATGTCTGCATAATTGGGATAAAGGTTTGTTTATTTGAGCTATTATGGAAATGTTTTGAGATGCTTCCTTATAGTTTTGTGCATTCATTTTGTGTCACTGACCATTACTTAGGGAAATATGAAGTGATGGGTGGCTTTTTTAAAAGTTTTTAATTGTTCAGTCATTTCAGTATGTTGCAACCATGTCTTTAAAATGTATTTCAAATGAAAATTAAATATCATGATGCATTTAGATGGTTTTAATTATAGAGGGCATACTATACAGATACTTCATGTCTTTTATTATATAAATCTGAAACAGATCAAAATTTTATGTCTGTGTAAAAGTTTCCAGCACTTCCAATCTTTCGAAGAAATTTTAGGTGTATTATTCCTTAGTAACACCAGAAACATTTTCCATTTCCTGATATATAGAGGCTTTCTCTTCATGTAACATAGATGAAACCAAATAAACTAAAAACTGGAGTCATCAGATAGTAATGATATTGTACATGCATATACATATATTTATGCATATCAAATCACCTTTCCATGTCAACTTCTCTGGTTTGTTACTACACAAGTTAAAACCTGAATTTTTTGTTGAATTTCAACTGAAGTGTTGTGATTTGCAAGTGCGTATAGTTCCTAAAATGGACTCATTCTGAAAATGTTATTTCTTAGGATTTTTTCATGTGAAGTCATCTTATTCCATAAACATAAAAGCATGCAAGGCATGAAATTTTAGCGCTGATTTATATTGGTAAAGTAAAGGAAAACATAATTTTAAGAGGGAAATATTAGGCTACTTCACAATGACAACCAATCTGATATTGGGGTATTGAAGAAAGCTAAACAGCTTGTCACCAGATGTAACCCAAGATTACAGTGGACCATTGAAGCCACAGTAAAAACTTCTTGCAACTGCAAACAAGGTATTTCACACAGATTTCTCAACAAAAATGAAACAGTAACCATATTCTCAAGTTTTTCCGAAATCACATAACAAAATTGAAGATCAATTTTTGAAAGCTGTATGAGCTGTGTCTGATATGTGACAAATATAAGTATATTGTCACACATATAAAAATTTGTACAATATATTATCACCCTGTCAACTTTTAAAACATGGTATATAGCTTGTTGCAAAATTTTTCCCATGGGATTTATGGTGGTTACAGGCTTCAACTCTAATGGGAAGTTAAACATCCAGGGTTGAGAAAAATGTCAAGATGAACTTTATATGATATCCTGTCAGGTTAATGTGCTGACACCACTAAACAATGAAGAAATACCACTTTTGTAAAAATTGCATGCTAATAAGTTATAGCTCCATTGAAACAAAGCACCCAACCACACACACCCAAGCCAAGATGCTAGCTACTCTACAAGATGCAAATGGGAAATCATACTATACCATTCATAGACATTTTCAGAGACTTCTTTGTCTTTTGGTTGTTGAAATGAGCCCTTTGAAGTTGTTGTTTGACCATCGTTGATGGGCTTTGGAGGAGAGACATGACATTGACCTCAGTGTATTGCACAGAAGCTTCTTACATTGAAAATTGTGCTACAGCAGAGTAGGCCATAAATAGGAACAATATTGGTGGCAGCAGAAGTGGCTGTAAGGCCTAAGCACTCATTCTTTATATTGTTCCCACAGATCATTAATATATCTGTTGTAGGCTTGGAAGTAGCAATTACAAGGCTACCAGAGTGGACCTATAAATAATGTATGAAGAATAAGTTTGTTTATTATATAATGTAGCACAGGGCTGTTACATTTTCTTTACATGTTTTGAATGTGCCTGTTCTTTATTTTATATAGACACAGAAAGACTCTTTGAAGTTTATTTTTTGCTTTTTGACTTTTCTCTGAGTTTGTTACTATTAACACTTTTTTGGTTATAAATTAACTACAGTTAAAATAGTTCATTGTATATACTTCCATTTTTTAGGGTTGGATGGAGCTGACATTGTTATTCTATGGTTACTACAATCATTATAAGTTAAACCTGTTTGGAACTACTCGGATCTACAACTTCCCACTGGCCTACCTTCTGACAACTTTGGCCTATTTTTTAGCTTCTCTGGTATTGATGGTTGGCTAGTAAGTACTCCAGCACTGGTCGTTTACTTAAGAAGGTTTATTGGATGTTAGTAATTATAATGAATACCATTAACAATTCATAGAATGTATTTATTCATTTGAATTAAAAAAAAAGGACATTTGAACATAATGTATGATTTAATGTTGAGTGACAAAATTGCAGCAAATTTACATTTTCTTTAAAATGAAAATATTTCTTTACTTAGGAATAGTCTGGTGATTCTAATTACTGTCTAGACATGAGTCAAGTAAGATCATGTTTCGTTTTAGAGTATAAATGCTTATAACATATGTAGTATTTGATACCTTCCTAATCTTCAGTGAAATTTTTAACTAAAACATTAGTGTTACTTTTTTCTATGTGATATCCAGACAAAAGACAACAGATTACTAGAGAAATTGTGATACTTCAAAATAATCTAAAATGTAGACCATCCATACATCTAGAATAATGGTGCTGTTACATCTGATATCCAGACAAAAGATTACTAGAGAAATTGTGATACTTGAAAATAATCTAAAATATAGACCATACACCTAGAAAAATGGTGCTGTTACATCTGATATCCAGACAAAAGATTACTAGAGAAATTGTGATACTTGAAAATAATCTAAAATATAGACCATACACCTAGAAAAATGGTGCTGTTACATCTGATATCCAGACAAAAGATTACTAGAGAAATTGTGACACTTCAAAATAATCTAAAATGTAGACCATCCATACATCTAGAATAATGGTGCTGTTACATCTGATATCCAGACAAAAGATTACTAGAGAAGTTGTGGTACATGAAGATATCAATAAAAATATGTTACTGTAACTAATATTCAGATTATGTAAAATATGACAAATCTAGTCTTTATTTTATAGGTTGGTTAGAGCAAACACTGCTGAGCAGGAATGTCGAGAACCAGCACAGGCCCCGGGGGGAACATCCTCGCCGGACCCTCTTTCTCTATCTCTTTTTTTACATTTTCAAGAATTTATTAAAAAGACGATCCTAAATTAGGACAGCAACGAGCTCATAAACCAGATAAAATCATAGCAGCAGCCATTTTTACCTCACAGTATAAGCGTAAAAACGTTAATAAAGTAACAAAAAATATCTATTAAATCTATAAAGTAATAAATACATATTAATTATTACTCAAATTATTATTTCAGTCATTCTTGATGTATCAAGTGTCTATATGCAAAGAAAAGCCAAAACAATGGTTTCTATCATTAAATGAATATATAGCCTAAAAGTGCTTTGCATGCTTTACGGCATAACCAGGTTTCATTCGCCCGGGCCCCTAGGCAGCTGCCCCCTTCCCCCCTGTTGGTAGGCCTGCTGCTGGGAGGAATGAACTGTAGATATATTTTAACTACAGACAGTAGACCAAGTAACACAACAGTATTACTTTATAATCTGTAATTATCTTCAGAAAAGAAATGTAATAAAGCAGTAGTGATATACTTTTTGCAAACTGTCCCCAGATCTGACAACTGGTCGTGCTAGAGAAAAGTGCTTCATGCTGCCTGTTAAATAAAAAAAATTGTACTCTATGATTATAACTATATATATATATATATATATATTGAATTCTTAAATCCTTAATAGCACAACAGAAGGTGTAAAAGAAACATTGATGACTTCAGAAAGTCAGCTTCACAAATACTGTGACATGGTTTTTGCTGGCTGGGATTTCTGCATTGAGGATAAGAAGACAGCTATGTTAAAACACAGCAGCATTACTCGAGAGCTGAAGGTAAGACTACCTAATATATTACTTTTAAAGTACTTTTAAACATATGAAAAAAAGAAAAAACTTTCTCTATACTTCAAATAGTGTAGATATGGTGTATGTAAATTCTTGTATAGCTTATACATCTTTTATTTTGAAGACCTGATTCCAACCTATCTGGATTTTAAGTGAAGACCACATTGTAAAAGTATCATTGACTTGTTTTTGTACAACTTGCAACATTTTTAGTTCTTTATTTTTTCTAGCTAAATTTTATTTATTTATCAAATTTTGTCAAAAGTTTTAAAACTAAGTCACTTAAATCTTTTTCCCATGATGTAGAACCTTAACTATCTTTATTATAAACTAGTTTACAAAATTTTAAAAAAATATTTTTTTAATTTTTTTCTGTGGCTATGGAGGTCTATCAAATTAATCAGGAAACTTAAAGAAGTTCCAAATTAATGCAACTGCATAGAAGGGTGCATCAATTTCTATGTATAAAATTTTTCAAATATAGGACTTTAATTTACAGATGTATGTTTGAAAAAGGACACAATGGAATTCTTCAAATCCTACTCAGTTTTAGATTGGAATACATCGTATTATTATTGTAATTGTTTTTTTTTAATTTTAGGTATTGGTGATGGTAGATTGAAGAGTTGTAAAACATGATATTTTAGAAGTGTCATTCCTCCCCCACCCACCAGCAGGTGCCTGGAATTTACTTTAAAAAATAATAAATTTCAAAAGAATGCTTTAATTACAAGAAAAAAAACACAATTACAATAAACAGACAATATTGTAATTCTTTAACCAATGATTTATTTTAGAAAGGTCAGTGTTTATAGGTGACATCTTTACTTTCTAAGAACATATAGTGAAGAACAATAATTGCATAAGTTCTGTGGTTACATTTCCAATAATGTAGAAGTAATACTTTATTGAGTTCAATGGTTACATTTTAGATCCTCATTTTCTTAAAATGTAGAATGAGTGAGTTCAGTGATTATGATTCAGATTCCTACTTTCTGAGAATGTAGAATGAAAAACAATATGTGATTATGTTCATTTACTATATATAGCTTTTGCTACGGATATCTTGTGTGTGATATAGTTAAGTTTAATTGAATACAGTTAATGAGAACTTGCTATGATAACTTTTTAATAGTTTCTGTTGAAATTTATTGACCTTTATCATTATTGAGACTATAGATTATGTTGATAATGTGATTTGCAGGGGCACCTTGCTGAAGATCAACGAAATGCTGAACTTTCCCAGTGGACACGCAAAAAGAAAGCAAAAGTGTATACAGTTAGAACAATTGTTAATTTAGCTGTATTGGGCCTTTTAATTCTGTGTGGATACATACTTTTACTTGTGTCCAATCTGTCCTTGGAGGTGAGTTGATAATGTGAAGTATATTTTATCAGTACAGGAAATTGGCATATGCTCTTTATTTGTGTGTGAGAGAAACTATTTCTGCTGATTGTATGTAATAATGGTACATAAGATGACCTACAGATTTTGGGGAATTCTTTATATTCTATGACTATTCCAGCAAATGAGTTACTATCTGCCCTTTATATTGTTAGTTTATCATGTTATCTGCCCTATATATTGTTAGTTTATCATGTTATCTACTAAACTTGTATTTTTACTAACCTTCCTTGGTCTGTCAACTGAAATAACAGGTTAAAATTACAAGGTGAGGTTTAAGCTTCACTTAGGTTAGTATGTAAGGTAAGACAACTTATATTTGTGTGCCAGATTAACCTTTTATGGACTGGTTGGGGCGGGAGTGTCATTTAGATTCACTGATCTCTTTTTTCCCTCCTCACAGTGGAATTACTTAATCAAATTGCATGAAACATAGTACAGACATTTCATTTAAAATAGTGTTTATTTTTTTATGGTGTGAAATTTTGTTGTGAAACACTTTTTGAAAAAAAAATTAAAAATATTTCTTTGTGTCTTAGAATTTCCATTTTTGTATTATTTATCAGAAAGCTTCATTTTCTGTATCTGGTTAATTGTAATTTGGTTGATATTCATTAATATGTTTATTTTGCTCCTTTGCCAATTGAAGCAGTTGACATTTCTAGCTGTAATACATACAACACATGATAAAGATTTATTACTCAGCAATAACCCAACATTTTAAAATGTTGTTACCGTTGCTTTTGTCAGGCATTGTATCATATTTTTGTCAACAATATTCTTGGTCAAGATCAATTCATATCTAGTAAATATAGTTTCCAGTGAATAAATAATATGTTTCTTTATTTATATGTATTGAATACAATAAACTTAACAGTATATTTGATAAAAGAAATTGTGTCATCCAAATAGTTTGCTCTCACTTATCACACTCACTAAACTTAACTGATACATTACTTCAGAAGAATATTTCAGTAGCATATATAGTTCAACATAAAAACATTACCAGTAATAAAAAAATGTCAAAATAAACAAACAAGATTCTCATATTTGTAGTTTCTTCTTAACTGAATGTTGTAAACTTTGAGTTAGGATCTTTGAACACCCATCCTGAAGGAGTATTTAATATGTGTCATGTAACCACAAGTTTCTATGTGTGGTATATTTCTGTTGTATGTGAAGTATGTTAGTTGGTGTAATGTGTTTTTGCTGCATGTAGTCTGTTAGGTAAGTTATTCTTATTATGTTGTTAATCTAAAAGCTGAGACATTTTTGCTGAATGTTGTCTTTAGTCACATAGTTTAATTGTTTCTGTTTAATCTCTCAGTTGAGTTGTCTTAGTCCAGCTATATTTGTAGCTGTTCTATTTGGGTTCATAGTCTGTCAGTCAAGGCGTTTATGCCCATTTTCAGTCAGGCAGGTTATTTCTACTTTGTGTGTATTGTCAGATGAAGGGATGTATTTCTAAACAAGGTATAATTAACATCAATGCATAAGCTAACTAAACATACTAACACTAAAAATAACTCTGCACATCTAACACAATACAATAACAGCAGAAACAGTTAACATAATATGCACAATGAAAATAACTCATCTCAGCATAGCATATTCTCATTTGCCAACTGAGACTAGAATTATTTCTGTTCTGTCTGTTGACTTGAATTATGGATTCCTGATTTATGTATTTAATCTATCAGTTTAGATTATTTATCTTTCCAGTTTACCTCTAATCTTAATTAATTTTGTAGATTTTTATTTCAATTTCTTTGCCATGTAATTTATTAAAGTAATTGCATTATATCGGTGTATGCTGCCAGTGTTTGGTATCTATTATAAATATTCCATTTTAAGTTGTTTCTTTTGTGTCTGTTTGATCTATTATTTGAAGTATTCTACATCAAACTAGATGTTGCAGTGATGGAATATATTGCAAAAATTGCAAAATATTTCTTAAACTTTAAATTTTTATTTCATACCAGAAATCAGGAGAAGATAATGAAGGTTTTCTAGCAGTGGTTATTCAGTTGTTACCTTCACTGACCATCACAGGACTCAGCCTGGTTGTTCCTACAATGTTTGGAAAAATGGTGACTTTTGAAGAATACTCTAAAGACTTTGAAATTAAGATCACTCTTATTAGGTAATATTTCATTTTAAAGAAGGAAGATTTATTGAGATAACTTATTAGGTAATATGTAATTCTTCAAAAGAAGATTTATTATGGTAATTCATATTAAGTAATAGGTAATTCTTTAAAGAAGGTTTACTAAGGTAACACATATTAAGTAATACATAATTCTTTAAAGAAGGTTTATTATGGTAACTCATATTAGGTAATATGTAAATATGTAATTCTTTATAGAAGGTATATTGAGGTAACTCATATTAAGTAATATCTGTTTCTTTAAAGAATGTTTATTAAGGTAATTTATATTAGGTAATATGTAATTCTTTAAAGATTTATTAACCCTATAACACATTGCATAACTCATTAAATTTCATTCCAGTAATAAAACTAGTGGATAAAATTGTTTAAAACTTGACAAGAACTTTCATACAAGAAAGTATTTAGTTTGAGAAAAATAAAATATTTAATATTGGGCTTTTCTACTATTTCTAATAAACATTCGTTATTTACTGTAGTTATTTGCACTCGCTCTCTGAATAGTTCACTACAAGTGATTTTCATTTTGAGTATGAAATACTATTTATTATCTTACAGTTTTCACATTTTACTTCCTTAATCTCTAAAACCTTTTAAATGAGTACCAAAAGTTTTTAAGGTAAATGTGTTTTTTTTTTCATATTCTCCACCATATTGCTAAATCTAATTATTATAATCAATGTATAGTGCAATGAAATGCTTACAATTAAGAAATAGAAATATGTACACACATTTTAATTCTTTGTTGAATAATCTTAAAATATCTTATTTGGGTCATATGCATAATTTCACATCTTTACTTTTTTACTTATAGCTTATTTTTAATATTTTATTTTCCTTTCCTATTCTTTATCATTGATTAATTATGTCGATGCAATGAGTCAAAGCCTTGGTTATTTTATAAAAATTATTAAACCTTTCAAGTGTTAATTTTAGAACACGAATAATTCATAATTAACTAAAATATAAAAGTAAAACCTAAATACAATTTAACTCTCTCTAACTATAACATATTTAGGTAAGAAACAACTGAAGTGCTGTCATAAAAAGAGCAACAAACAATAGTACAAGTAGTTATATCTACCTGAGGATGACAACCCATTGCCAATTTCAAAATAACCATTGTTGGATTATAGTGTAAAATGAGCTCTTTCTAATGACTATAAACATGTACATGTTGAAAGTACATGTAACTTCTAAAGCTCAGTGGTAACTATAGAAATAAATTTTGTCAACCCCTGACAGGTGCCATGCCCACCTTCTATAGTTACAACTGTATTCAGCAAAAGTACTTAGAAACACGTGTCAAAAGGACAAGTAAACTACATTCTCATCTAGACTTGCATGTACATGACTACCCCTTTATGACTACTACTTTCTTATCAATGTATGCAAATAAACTTGGCATCAAAACTTAGTTAATAAATCAAATTTTAATATTATTTAAGTTTTAATTTTATATGCAAATATTTTTTTAAAATGTTAATCTCCCCTTGTATGAGAATTGTGACATTTGCTTTCTAGATTTTCCTCATCTCTAATTTATTTACCATCTCTCTGAGAAGTATGAGATTTAATGAAAATTACTCATTATAGTATATATATTACTAAGACAAAGCATAATTTTTATAGCCTTCAATATGGAGCTATAAACTCCAAAATCAGACCCACTTGTTATGCTCACCTGTCACAACTTTTCTTTCACAAATTTCCAATAGTTCTCTCTGATGTTTTATGATATATTATTTATAACCAATAGAAACCCAAAGTTTTAATCTGTCAAATGATGTATTATATTACATTGTTTTCTGTACAGGGCATTGTCTATTTCATTGTTCAGTTGGAAAGTTTTCTCGTGGAAATCACATCAATGAGCTTAGCTGAATTTTTAAAGGCTCTTATTTCATAGTTAGAAAGCCAGGAAAATGATGATAGTTATAGGACATTGTTTGCTTTTTTGAGAGTTATAATTTTGTGTTCTTCGGTGCATTATTCAATTAAATAAAAAATTATTTAGCATAGTAGTACCATTAGTATAAACAAAAACTTAGGCTTAAGTTTCATTGACAGTCAACAGCAAAAAAAAAAAAGATCTACGTAAGTACTGTATTTCTTGCTTTTATGTTTATTTATTATTATAAAAGTAACTAAAATGTAAAAATTAGAAACTAACTAAATCAGACTAGATGATATAATGAAAATTAAAAATAAAAATACTTCACAGCTTGTGTGTTAAATTTGATATGGTAACATGGGCTGCACATTCACTGAGTGATTTACAACTTGTGTGGTGGGATTATTAGACATGGTTCAAATGGCAATAAAGTAATAAAATTAAGTATAAACAAATGTATACTGTTACAAGCTTTAAACTATTTAGGATAAAAAATTGTAGTTTAATATTTAATTAAAAAAAGGATAATTTAGATTTATTTCATTTTTTTTATGGTGTTACAAGGTCAGTCAAGTTGACTGAATGGGTAAAGAACTAGGGTACAGAAAATATCATAAAATATGAAGTTCTACTTAAAAACGTTTGATATTTATTTTTGTGGTTTCAGAGGATACAGAAATGAAATTTAACAATTTTCAGATGATTAAAAGCATTTTTAATCTTCACATGAAAATCATTTTGCGTTCAAAGCAGTCAACACTCTGACTCCATATATTCATGGATAAATTTTTAGTAACAATACTTCATTATGAATTCAGATTTGTTTGTCCACAAAAGAGTTGTAATGTTTACTAAAAGTTTGAAAAATTTTGTGAAAATACACAAAACATACTAAAAGTTATACTATGGAAACTGATGGTCATTTTGAAGTCACGAGGTCAGTGTAATTCATCGAACCCATGGCAAGAGAGTTGATATTTAATTTTTCCAAGGAAAGTAACTCTTCTGGAAAAGACAAACCTATTTTCCATGATACAGTTACTGGCTATCCTGGTTATCTTGCAGGTTCCTACCTTTTCATACCCTGTAAAATCAGTGAATCTTAGAATAACACAGAATAGGAAGGAAGGATAAAAGTTGGTCCCACATCCACAGGATCTGTGTTTGTGAGTTGTCTGTTTTTCCTGGATAAGTATTTACCTGTGCTTTTCTGATTTGTAGTTATTAATTCAAGGAGATGTATTTAAGGAAATGGCATTTTCCGCAAGTTGGGTGGGGTGTAATCTGGAGGAAGAGTGAACAGGTGTAGGTGAATTCCTCTCCTAGATGTAAAATTTTCACCAATGATGTAAAGGTTTATTATGACTATATCACTGCAACTGTAGACTCAGGAAGGAGAACTGCTGTTATCTGGCATACTCAGAACAACTGACTAAATTCTCCTCCTGAGGTTAATTGTCAGTGCACAGGAAGCATTGGCAACTAAGGATTGGCATGGTTGTGCATGGCCTGGCAAACCCGAGACTAATAGAGAAGTCTCTATAGGACTCCCAGGCATTTACTAGCCAGAGCTGTCCAACCATGACTCTGGTCAATATCAAGCACAGCTGACACAGAGAGACTGTATGTAGTAATTGTAGATGATGATCATCAACAGGACCTGTTTCACCAGCAAATGAGATAATTGGCACAGACCAGTGATGATGGTGGTGGTCTGTGGGGCAGTGGTGAACTTCACTGTGATGGGAGGTATACTGCCAGGCAATCATGGAGAAACCTGGGGTTGTGCAGAGCTGATGAGAAACCTATCTCCAGTATCTTGCTGTTCTGTGACCCAAAAGTTAGGATCTAACATTTGTCCAAGTGCAAGAATCCCATTCTATCAAATCCCCAACATAGACAAGGGTTCATACTAGTGTGGTCCATGGGGGAGAGGCTTATACCAAAACTAGAGTTAAATCTGATGGAGGCAAAGCAGATCTTTTTTACAGTGTTTAATGGTGTGTTCAAGGAGGACCTGGAACATTTCTTAAGTCATTTCGTGTGTATTCAGGAGCAGGTGATGAGGCACCACTTGGGATTTAGAGATATGATCACTTCAACAGAGGTGGTTTCTGTGATGATGAAGTTTGTAGTCATGACTGCAAACTGGTCACAGGAAAAAACCTGTGGCTGTATGATGGGCCTGTAATGTGGAAACACAGCTGGACCATCTTGCTGTATATTGAGGCCCTGTCTGTTCATTGAATATCCTGATCCTGGTTTACTGTGAATATAAATGAAATAAATATTTTTTTCATTGAGTTTGCCTAAATTTTACTTTTCTGTGATGCTAACTGAACCAATTGGATTAACCCGTGTGTGGTGATAGTGTCTTGATGGGTTGTTGTTGGGTCTAGTCATTGCTCATCTCCATAAAATTTATTGCCCGCCTCCTCCCAGGTATTTCATTGTCAAATCCAGCTAGACTTAAGCTATTCTTTTGTTTGAAAGCATCAGCCAGGAACATTACAATTGGATTGAATTTAAAGGCTTGTAAAATGTAATTTGTAAAGGATGTATTGTGTGTTATGTTTTGATTTAATCTAAAAAGTTTTTAATGTTTAGTCTTTTTTATTTTGCTATTATGTGAAAGGGGTTTTGTTTTGTTTCAATTTTGTACACTTTTTATGAAGGCTAATTCTCAAAAGTTTTTTAGCATATCTTTTGCAAAAGGTTTAAGGCTTTAATTATGTTAAAAGTTTTTATTTTTATTATTCTATGTTTTTATTTTTATATTATTTGTTAAGAGGTTTGTTTTTGTGTTGTATGTATTATTTAAAGGGTCTCATTTCTGAATTTCAAGTATATATATATTTGTATATGTTAAATGGTTTCTTACAATGCATTGTTTGTTTGCTCTCCTCTCCTAAAGAAGATAGTTTGTCATTCTTAAATGGTTTTATTTTATTATGCTTAATTTACACTCTTTTGTGTTATTTCTCTATTTTCATAAAGTTTGTTTTGTTAGGCAAGTATTACAGGTGTTGACTGATGCTTGAGTAAATTTTATTTGGTTTTTAAGTTTTGAAGCTTAAGGGGAGTGAGGTTTGATCTGCCTGAATTTAGAGGTGGGGATGAGAAGTAACATAATATAATGTTTAGGGACAACAAAGGACCTATTGGTCCATCTCGGCTGGCCCGGCATGGCCAGGTGGTTAAGGCACTCGACTCGCAATCTGAGGGTTGCGGGTTCGAATCCCCGTCACTACCAAACATACTCGCC